CAGAAGAAATGGACACATTTCTACATACATATGAATACCAAAATTGAAAAAAGAAGATATAAAAATTCTAAACACCCCAATCGCAATCAGTGAAATTGAAAATGTAATTAAAAATTTACCAACAAAGAAAAGCCCAGGTCCTGATGGATTCAATGCTGAATTCTACAAGACATTCAGAGAAGAACTACTGCCACTTTAAACTTTTCAATGAAATTGAAACGGGAGCAGTACTTCCAAATTCGTTCCTAGAAGCAAGTGTTACTTTGATTCCACAACCAGGGAAAGAATCAACCAAAAAAGAGAACTACAAGGCCAATCTCCTTAATGAACATAGATGCAAAAATCCTCAATAAGATACTGGCAAACAGAATACAGAAGGTCATCAAGTATATCATACACCATGACCAAGTAAGATTTATCCCAGGGATGAAAGGATGGTTCAATATATATAAATCAATAAATGTAATATACTATATTAACAGAGTCAAGGACAAAAACTATATGATCATCTCAATAATTGCAGAAAAGGCGTTTGACAAAATTCAACACTCATTAGTTGAAAAAACCCTGCAGAAAATTGGGATAGATGGTCTTTATCTCAACTTGATAAAGGCTGTCTTTGAAAAGCCAAAGGCCAACATTATACTAAATGGTCAAAAACTGAAAACCTTCATGCTAAAAACAAGAACAAGACAAAGATGCCCACCATCACCCCTCTTATTCAATATAGTTTTGGAAACATTAGCCACAGCAGTTAGACAAGAGAAAGAAATAAAATCAATAAATATGATAAAGGAAGAAGTTAAATAGTCATTATTGGCTTAAAACATGATACTCTACATAAAGTACCCCAAAAACACCACCAAAAGACTTCTAGACTTAAATGACAGATTCAGTAGAGTAGCTGGATACAAGGTAAGCACTCAAAAACCAATAGCCATCTTGTACCCAAATAACAGACTCATTGATAGAGAAAATAGGGAAACAATCCCTTTCACAATAGCATTAAAAAAAGAAATATTTAGGAATCAATCTAATGAAAGAAGCAAAAGACATCTACAGTGAAAAATACAACACTGAAAAAGGAGATTAAAGAGGATATAAGAAAATAGAAAGATATCCCTTGTTCCTGGGTAAAAAGAACCAATATATTGAAAATGGCCATACTTCCAAAACTGCTATACAGATTCAATGCAATCCCTATTGAAATCCCAACAGTATGTTTCACAGAACTAGAGAAAACAATACAAAAATTCATCTGGAACCAGAAAGAGACCTACAATAGCAAAAGCCATTCTAGGCATCAGAGACATGGCAGGGAGTATCACAATTCCCAATTTAAAGCTATACTACAAAGCGACTGTGATGAAAAAAAAAAAGCATGATACTGGCAAAGAAACAGACCTGAGGATTAGTGGAATACACTGGAAGATACAGGAACACCTCCAGATGTACTCAGCTACCTCATCTTTGACAAAGGAGCCAACCATCCTCACTGGAGCAAAGATAGCCTCTTTAAGAAATGGTGTTGGAAAAACTGGATTTCAACCTGCCAAAGATTAAAATTAGACATTTATCTTACACCATGCACTAAACTAAAATCCAAGTGGATTAAAGATCTAAATATTAAAAGAGAAACACTAAACTTGCTGGAAGATAAGTTAGGCAGAATTCTTGAAGACATTGGCATAGGAAAAGACTTTATGAACAAATTCTCAGTAGCACGGGAACTAGCAGAAAGAATCAACAACTGAGATCTCACCTTATTAAAAAGCTTCTGCACTGCAAAAGAAACCATCAACATAACTAAAAGACAACCTAAAATGTGGGAAACAATTTTTACCAGCTGCTTCTCAGACAAAGAACTATTATCTAGAATATATAAAGAACTAAAAAAATCAGCCCCCCAAATATAAAGACCCAATTCAAAAATGAGCATCTCAAATGAACAGACATTTCTCAGACAAAGAAGTAAAAGCAGCAAGTAAATATATGAAAAAATATTACACATCACTGGGATCTCATCTTTTTAAAATCTCCTGCACTGCAAAAGAAACCACCAACAGAGCAATGAGACAAATTACAATGTGGGGGAAAAAATTTACCAGCTATTTTTCAGACAAAGGTCTACTATCTAGAATATATAAAGAACTAAAAAAAAAAAAAATCAGACTCCCACCAAATAAATATAAAGCCCAATTTAAAAAGGGGCATCTGAAATTAACAGACATTTCTCAGATAAAGAAGTAAAAACAGCAAATAAGTATATGAAAAAACATTCAATATTAGTGGTCATTCAAGAGATGCAGATGAAAACAACACTGAGATTCCACCTTACCCCACAAAGAATGGCTGCTATCAAGAAATCAACCAATAACAAATGCTGGCGGGGGTGTGGGGAGAAGGAAACCCTTCTTCATTGTTGGTAGGAGTGCAGGCTGGTGCAATCCCTGTGCAAATCAATGTGGAGATACCTTAAACAACTAGAATTGGAAATCCCATTTTACCCAGCTTTTTTCCTGCTGGCTATCTTCTCAAAAATATTAAAAGAATCATACCACAGTGATTTATGTGCACCCATGTTCATAACAGCACAGTCTGTAATAGCTAAAACTTGAAAACAGACCAATTTCCCATCAGCTGGAGACAGGATAAAGATGTGTTGTTGTTGTTGTTTTAATAAAATGGAGTACTACTCAGCCATAAAGAACAAGAAACCAGAGACATTTATAGCTAAGTGGATGCACATTGAGGACATACTCTTAAGTGAAATAAATAAGACACACATATAAATACCATATACTTTCTCTGCTGTGATAAGCTAAAAGTGTAAATAAGGGTCAAAAATGCATAACTGATATTGTGTAATAGGAAGAAAAGGTCTAAAGGTATTGGCCAAATGGGAGGGGTAGGGGAAAGGTTAAAAAGGGAAGAGAAAAAATAAGAGAAAAGGAAAAAAATGGAAACAAAGTCTTTGTTAGTAGGGAAAGGTGGAGGGGGGAAGGGAGGCTAAGGGAATGAGGAAAAAATAAGAACCAAGATATGTCATGTAAAGATCCCAGGGATGAATGTAATTGTTTTATATATCTAAAATGTACCAATAAAAAAGTATTTTTTAAAAAAAGATGCAGAAAGAACAACAGACACACTCAGCCACGTCACCTTTGACAAAGAAGCCAAACACCCTCACTGGAGGAAAGACAGCCTCTTTAATAAATGGTGCTGGAAAAACTGGGTTTCAATTTGTCAAAGATTAAAACTAAAGCTTTATCTCTCACCATGCCCTAAACTAAAATCGAAATGGATTAAAGATCTAAATATTAAAGCAGAAACACTAAACCAGCTGGAAGAGAGACTAAGTAGAACTCTTGAAGACATTGGCATAGGAGAAGATTTCATGAGCAAAACCTCAGTTACCCATGAACTAGCACAAAGAATCAACAAGTGGCGTCTCTTCTTATTAAAAAGCTTCTGCACAGCAAGAGAAACAACCAATAGTGTGAAGAGACAACACACAATGTGGGAAAAAATTTTCATCCAGCTGTTCCTCAGACAAAGGGCTACTATCTAGAATATATAAAGAACTTTAAAAATCAGACCTCCCCTATTTAAAGACCCAATCCAAAAATGGGCATCTGAAATGAATAGATATTTCTCAGACAAAGAAGTAGAAATAGCAAATAAACATATGAAAAATTGTTCAACATCACCGGTCATTCAGGAAATGTAAATGAAAACACTGAGATTACCCCACCCCAGAAAGAATGGCTGCTATCAAGAAATCAACCAATTAACAAATGCTGGTGGGGCTGTGGGAGAAAAAAAGAACTCTGCTCCACTGCTGGTGGGAGTGTAGACTAGTGCAACCACTGTGCAAATAAGTATGGAGATACCTCAAAGAACTTGGATTGGAGGTCCCATTTGACCCAGCTATTTCCCTGCTAGCCATCTTCTCAAAAGTATTAAAAGAATCATACTACAGTGATATATGTGCACCCATGTTCATAACAGTACAATTTGTAATAGCTAAAACTTGGAAACAGCCCAATTGCCCATCAGCTGGAGACTGGATAAAGAAAATGTGGGGTTTTAAAAAATAAAATGGAGTGCTACTCAGCCATAAAGAATGAAAAATTAGAGACATTTATAGCTAAATAGATGCACATTGAGGCTATACTCTTAAGTAAAATAAATAGGACACGTGTAAACACTGAATAGTTTCTCTGGTGTGAGAAACTGAAAAGTGTAAATAAGGATCAAAAGGTATAATAGATCATGTGAAATAGGAAGAAAAGGTGTAAAGGGCAATGGGAAGTGGGAGGGGTAGGAGAAAGAGAATGGAATTAATATGAGAAAAGGAAAAAATGGAAACAAAGTCTTTGTAAATAGGGGGAGTGGAGGGGTTGTAGGGAGGATAGGGTAATGGGGAAAAAAATAAGAACCAAGATAGAGTATGTAAAGGTGCAAATTTCCAATGATGAATGTCATTATTTTGTATACCTAAAATGAACCAATAAAATTAACTTTAAAAAAATACAACAAGAAAAAGTCTAATTTGGAGAAAGAAACCTCACCCTGCCAGCTACTAATTCTACAACTATACGCAAACTGTTCAACCCCTGGTAGACTTACTTTCAAGATCTGGTAAGGGTAATTAATATCTGTGCCTACCTTTCAGGTAAAGATCAAATATGTTGAGATATAGAAATGATATACTAGGACAGTGCCTGGCTCATGATAAGCCTTCACGTTCAAGAGACATAGAAACAGAAACAGAAGGGATGATAAAAAAGAGAACCTTGGACATTCCATCCGCTAGAAAAGGGATCCTCTGGGAAAGGTTTATGAATAACTGCTAGGTCTAGCTGCGTGGGTGCTTGCGGGATTATATGCAGTAAAAGGAAAAAATGAATAATACATAACGTTAAGTTGTTGGGTTCAAGAACAGCTGTGAACCACACAAAGAGAACCTGCGCCCTGGGTGCCTCCCTGCACCATACCTGCGCCGCTGCGGCGGGTGCTCATGTCTGCCACATAAGTCCAGTCGTTGGTTGCCGGATTGTACTGCTCCACTGTGCTCAGGCACTGGCGGGAAGCCCCATCGTAACCCCCGACGGCATACAGCTTCCCTGGAACAGACAACATGGCTGAGGGCTGTGCCAGGAACATCCACCAGGACCTGGAGTCTGGCTGACGCCCTGTCTGTAACCCACTGGGACATCGGTAGCTAAACCAGCTCTGGGCCCCCTTTCTCCAGGGGAACCCCAACCTATTCCCAAAACTGAGGAAGCTCCACATTCCTGCCTTCTGCCTGCTCATAAGCCATGAGTTCTATAAAAGTCATTCTGAATCTTTCTGAACGAGAACCTCAAATGTCCACTGCCAAGCTGTGACATGGCATCAGGGGGTACAACACATTCTTGCTGGTGAACTAGGTTGAGATGTCTCTAAAGCAAGGCACCAGCAATGGACAGACAGAAACCTAGACGATTCTCAGCTATAACCCGGTAGCCAACTTCCTGGCTAAAAGGCCCACTAGAGCAATGGGATAAATATGAAAAAAAATATTCTTCAGTGAGAACCCAACTACGGTCTTAGCCATTGTTTTGCCTCTCATAACTCTGGCAGGTTGAGTGTGGGAATGGGGCATCCCGTGTACACTCCAGGCTGAATTGTCTAGTATTTTTCTTCAGGGTACATCGTCACCCTGGAATACCATCATTCATTTTAAAATGAAAACAGAATTAAGCTGCTATCAAAGAGCTTCATTTCCACTGGGGGCTTGCGGACAGAGGGGAAGGAGGTCAAACAAGGATGCAGAAAGTTGGTACTGTACTCGAGGTGTTTGAGGGCAGAGATTCAAACACTTTGGGTTTAATATTTAGTCTAAGAATATAATGGGACAGTTCCTTCTATAGCAGGCAGGGGGAGAAGCCCTATGTCACCTGTGGATCTCAGATCTACGGGGGAACTGAGTTATAGCAAGGATCCTGTACACTAGCTGCAGGCCAAATAAACACCACCAAATGCAAATCCATTTAACAGGACTACTTAATCAACAGTTCTTGGATATTATGTGCTTTCCTAATTCCAAAAGCACAACTAGAATGTGAAAATGTGTGGTTATTTTAAGTTAGAAAGATTCCTAGACTCAAAACTGTGGTCTATCAGGGCTACTGATATAGCAAATGTAAAACTATTTCTTCTATTGTTACTGAGTCTACTTTTGTTTTCTGCCCCAAAGACTTCTCAGATGGCCCTTCTGGAAAAGAGATGCCTCCCTTGCAGCTCTGCTCTCCCCAATATCAAAGCAAAACAAAATGAAGCTGGGCATCTTCTCCGGGGTCCAGGCCACTTGCCCTGTGTTCGCCGCTCAATGTGACCATCTCTGAGACACACATTCTTGCTTCACTGGGATCTTCTGCTGGAATTCTGACTCTCACTGCCCTTTTCCATGAGCAAGGATTCTTTCAGGCAGCCAGGCGCAAATTATCCTGACTTCTTCCATGTGCTTCTGGTGTCATTGTAACTTCAGGGCCACGGTAATGAGATGATGGGATGGAGGAGAATAAAACAGACTGGTAGAGAGAGTTGGATCTACCTACACTTCCTCCCTAGATGCTCTCACCAAACCTGTAAACTGGATTCTTCTGCCCCAGTGTGATCCGCAGCCTACAGAACTTCAGATTCAGGAGGGCAAGAGAAAAAAATTCTCCAAGTGTCCTCCATATTCACATGGCCTGCTACAAGAGAGCACTTCTTCCACATTGAAACGCTTTGTCAGGAAAGTATTTCAGCCACTACCATTAAGGCACCTCCTCTAACCTTCATTATCCATGCCAACCCTGCATTGGTTTAAAAAAAAAAAGAAGATCCACTCAAGGTTTCTCCTTGACTCTATTAGCAGGATTTTGCTATTTTTCAACCCCTCCTCTACTGTTTGATATTCCTGGCCAAGGAACAAAGGGGGAAATGGGAAGGTGGCTAGACAAAGCACTTACATTTGGCAGACAAATTAATTTCAGTTCCACCAAGAGGGTGAGACTGCAAAAATCAATTTACCTTGGTAGGTGGATAAAATCCCTCACTGAGACAAGATGGCTTGTTCATCATGTCAGAATAATATCCTTTGCAATTAAAATATAAGTGCACAAAACCAGTACAGTGAAAGAAAAGAATCTTTTAATTTCTAACTCACTGCAATGTTATACTTTACCTAAAGCACATTTGCGTGTGTTCTTGTGTGTGCACATCAGAGTGAGAATGTCTGTGCACCTGTGCAAATGAACAGATATTCCAGCCAAGCCCCTTTATCAGGCTAATGAATCAGTATTAGCCTGTGAATGCTAAGGTTTTTGTTCAAATAAAACTCTGTGCATTGTACATTGAGCTGAGACATGTCTGTAAAACTACCTACAAGCACTTGCCAGTGGTCTGAAGGAGCAAGGCACAGTAAAAAAAGCCAGGTTTAAGGTTGGCCATTCTATTTACTATCACTGTAAACTCTCTGGGACTCAGTTTCCTCATCTGGAGAAAATCTGAGTCCTACCTTTCTTCTTTAGAAGGGTTTGGGGAAGAAAAATGAGAGACTGATGGTTTACTATGCATAATCTGATCAGGTCCCAGCCCTCACCATTCCCACTTGCCTCACCCAACACCTCTCCTAACTAGAGTAAGACTCAACAAGTCTACCCTATGGAGATGGTCATCAGACCAGGGAAGAGGTGCCTATTTCATTCACAGCTCTGCTAATGTTCAACACATGAGCTTGAGGGCAAAATTAATAAAATACAAACAACTCTCATCCCCACCATATTAGATTTTATGCTGAATCTGGGTTCTCCTACTTTCCCTCCCCTACATTTAGCAGAGCTACTGACAATGGCAGGTTGGTGTTTCCCCCACTAAGTAACTCTTACTTTCCCCAACCCCCTCAATCACTCCTTAGGCCAGGAGCTTCACTTCCCTGTTAAAACCAGGACCTAACTCAGAGCAGTGTTCTGCAGAATGGACACACAGAAGAGGAAGCAACAAGCACCATGCTGGAAACCCAAAGCCCAAAGACCCAGCTGAGGACCGACCACCAACCACCTCTGCCTCCTTACCCTCCACAACGCCCACACCCACACTGCTCCGCCGTGTGTTCATTGGGGCCACAAAGAACCACTCGTTGGTCTTGTAGCTGTAGGCTTCCACCGATGCCAGGCCTGGAGATAACAGACTCATGAGATTCCATGCTGCCATACCCCACCTGCTGAGTGGGGGTGGGGCTGCAGACCTGGATGCATGGTGCAGAGCTACCTCGGCCTCTTCCAGTGGCCTGCAGTGACTCCTGAAACACACCTGTGGTGTCTACCGGAGGGCATCACTAAGACTTGACTCAGAGGGTGGGTTGTACAAGGACAAGGGGTGCACCTAAACTGCACTGCAAATGCAAATCACTAAACTCACAGAAATCACTAAACTCAAGTCCACACCTAAGGCTGTTTCATGGAACACCTATCCCAATGCTTTTCCCCCTGCTTTCCTTCACCTCAAATTGGTAAAGCTAAAAACTTGCCTTCCACAATTTCCTTGCAGTGAGGGATGACCAAATCATTGAGACCTAATCCGAAATCTGTGGGGATTTATAAAATAGCCTTTACTTTTCTGATTTAGGTACCACCCTTTCCCACCTCTTGCTATCTGGAACACCAATGTGTTGGCTGGGGTTATAACAGCTATATTGTAATTATGAGTGAAAGACCAAGAGAATCTTAAAGAAGTTAACTCTCATATCCTTAAGCAATTAGAATAAGTCAGAAAATGATGACATCTGGTTTTCTTTTTCATTATTAAAATAAAATCCCACACTTTTACTGTCATGGTTCAGTCAGGCTTTCTACTTATAGCCAAAAGCAAGCCCTAAATGAAACAATACATTATCCTTTCATTCTCCTTATGCCCAGGTCCCTGCTCACTAAATACAACCTCCACAGCAGCCAAAGACCATGGACTCAGCGAGGGAAAAAGAAGGCCAAGAAATATGATTAAATTGTGAAGACACAAATGAAAATTCAGGGAAGTAAAGAATATTGCATTTTACCATCCTCAGGGCAAAAGAATACTATTTGACATTTTGGTTTAATAGAATTATAGTCTATACAGATATCTACCCAGCAGTAAGAGTACCAATGAGATCCTCTCTGAATCCATGTCCACTAATAGCTAAGACTGGGACTGTGAGAAGCCAGGGAGGATCCAGGAGGGAGGACCAAATGCAGGAGAGTCTTTCAGGGCCCATAAACAGCAAAAAGGGCAGTGTCACCATGGACAGGTTGGTCCATGGTGTGACCTGTGCCAGGCCCCTTCCCACTGCCAAGCCTTAATCTCCTCCTCTGCTCAGTGGAAAGCTCGGACCAGAGTCCTCAGCATGCTCCCACTAAGCATGCTGTCTTCCGAAGGCTCATCTCTGAGCCAACAGGCTGCCAGACACTGCACTGGAAAAAAGGGTCTCTTCTGAGTAAGGGATCCTCCAGAGCCCACTTGATGGGTAGTTGTGCATTCTGTGCCTATGTCATTCTGGCTCTGGCCTCAAAAGCTGGGCAAGGAAGGAGGCTAGTTTGCAGCTTGAATGCCATAAAGGCCCGAGTGCTAAATGTGGTCCCCAGGGTGGTGCTCTTGAGTGATGGTGGGGCCTGTGGGAGAAGGGGTCTGTGAAAAAGGCTTTAAGCCATGGGGAGTGTCCTTGAAGGGGATGATGGGATCCCAAGCTCTTCATCTTCCCTTTTGCCTCTCGCCTTACGAGGTGAGCAGGATTGCTCTGCCCTGCACTCCCACAATGATGTGCTACCTTGCCCCTGGACCATAGAAATGGAGCTAATCAATCATGGACTGGAGCCTCCAAAACTGTGAGCCCAGTAAGTTCCTAAGTTATCTATGTCTTCATAAGTTAACTATTTCCAGCATTTCATTATCATGACAGAAACCAGGTAAAAGTGATGGGTATGTTCCTGGGCTGGACATGAACAGAGATTACTCAGAGAACTAGCTGAGCAGAACAAGGGTGTGTGGAAGGTGCCTTCCAGACTGGGAGGGGTAGAAACACATCCTAGACCTACCAGTGCTGCCGTCAAAGCCTCCCACCGCATAGAGCAGATCGTTGAGCACTGCTGCCCCCAGTGTGCTCCGGCGCTCCTGCATGCTGGCGATGGACGTCCACTGGTCCTTCACACCATCATACACATCCACTGTCCTCACACGTAGTGATCCATTAAACCCGCCAACAGCATACACGTGGCCAGCCATGAACACCACACCTGAGGCACAGGAAACCAAGGCCCAAAGGTCAGATTGGGTAGATGACTACCTATGCTAATAGAGGCCAACAGGGGAGGAAGACAGGCATACAAATTACTCACCACGAAAATAAACTCCAGCTTTACATATCTGGAAGTCCTGCTGTGGGACTCACTTGATTTCTTTTCCTATTTGCTTCTCTAATTTTGGTTAATTCAAGCAAACACACGAATGAGCTTGAACTTCCAAGCATGTAAGAAGTAACCTCAGAAGGGGAAGCCAAAACTGCTGACCAGGAAGGGAAGGGAAAGGAGGAGCAGTATGCGACTTTGGACACGGAGCCGAGACCAGGTAGGGAAAGGCAGTTCCAGGGCTGAAGACAGTACTTCTCACCTGCTCTGCATCTCCTGGAGGGAAGCTCAGCAATCTGGTCCCACCGGTCCTCCTCGAAATCATAGCACTCCACGCTGCGGATGGCCTTGGGTGCCTGGCCACCAACCACAATCATGACCTCCAGAAAGACAAGGGGACGTTAGCTGGAACTCCCCAGCATCTGGATTAATGGGTAAATAGTGCCTGGCTTTTCCATGCTATCTGCATGGAGACACTTCCCCTAGTCACCAAAATATATGAATATTCAAGAAAAGTCTTCCCACAGAAATGCAATCTAAGGTCTATGCTTCCCAGATGGCCACTCAGGGAGATGTTGTGGGTAAATGAAGCCACTTAAGGCATCTCCTGCAATCTCAGGAATCTTCAAGAACTGGGGTGGGGGGTTTAAATTCTGTATCAAAATAGACTTGAATATAGTTTGAAAAGAGTGCAGAATTTGATGCATTTTTAAAGATAAAATTACCATTCTAAAGTATTTTTAAATGCCTGGATTACAGGAGCTCTTATTCATCGCAGTACAGGAAAAAAAAAATTGTGAAGCAGTGCTTTGTGATGGTTATCACAAAATTAATTTAACTGATGATTATGTTCTGAAAAACAGTGCTAACCATTCTATGCCCACAAATAAGGTAGTAGCACCACTGCCAGGCACTGTGAAGTGTATTGTCATTTGCTTGTCAGCACAACCCCATGAGGTAGATATTATCAATCACATTAACAGATGAGAAAAGCAAAGCTCAGAAAACATAGGGAAACTGCTCAAAGCCACCCAGTTAAGAGTGACCACACAAACTGAAACCCAAGACCACCAGACACAAGGGTAATGCTGGCCCTACCACCCATCTTGCTCTGAAGATAGGGCCCACAGTCCTCGCAAACACAGTTCACTGCCTCTCTACTAAAATGTAGGTCATGTTTCACTACGAGTCATGAAATCAATTTAATGGATGGTAACCAGTATACTTTTAGTTAAATGGTATACAAAAGATCATAGTAAAGGTCTTATTTCACAAAATATTTGTTCTGGTTATACACACTTATATGTGTCTTCCGGACAACAATTTATATGTGTTTCTTACTGCAGGACACTGCACACCCCCCAAAAAAAAGGAAAGCCATTCCATTCCTTCAGCTACACTAATACTGCAATTCTTAATTGTCATATCCCCATTGTGACTTTTATTATACACTGTTAATAAATAAAAATGAAAATATCAAAGTTTACATATTTTAATAAACTTCTGCAAATTCACTCTGTCCCCATAATGACACCTCTGGCACTCACTAGCATTCCAATATATTTTCTTTCTTTTGGAAGAGGGGGTACTGGGGATCAAACTCAGGTCCTTGCCTTTGCAAGGGAGGTGGCAGCGCCACTGAGTTAAATCCCCAGCCCTCCAACATACTTTCTTGAGTGGAGAGAAAGTTGTAGAAGTTGCAGCCAGCCAATACAAGCCACAGGAGTTGATTGTTACCTGTAGCCTGTCTTGTTTACCCAGCCGTTCTCAGGCTTCAGCACGCATCAGAATCACCCAAGGGCTATAAAAAATAAACTGCCGGCACCCACCCAGAGTTTCTGATTTGACAGATCTAAAGTGAGGCGAAGAATTCACATTTCTGTCAAGTTTCCAAGGGCTGCTGCTGCTGTTTTAGAATTGATACTCTGCAGACCACTTTTTAAACCCATAGCCTATAGGGATTTCCAGATGACATGTCATTAACAATTTCACCATTCTGAATGATCATAGCCCTTCTTATTTCCCCACAATGTATTTCTGGAGCTAGGAGTGATCACCAAAACCCATGCAATCACACAGAGACACAACACTCAGGTGGACGTTATTCCCCACACGGGAGGCAGAACCATAGCTGACCACCACTGTTCAAGAAAAACCATTGATGCCTCAAGAATCCAGAGTCAGAGTCACCCACTGCCCGTGTGGGTGGTCACTGATCATTGGAGCCCACAGTATCTGTGACCAAATGTGGGTCACAAAATGTTCAAAGCTCAGAACTTAGCATGGACTTCTAAAAGGTTCCAGAGAAACCCAGGACCTGGGCCAGGCTGGAGCTGCTGCTGCTTCCAGAAATACACATTCTGCATTTGTCTTCCCTGCATGCCTCAGCTCACAGTGTCCCTGCTCTGTGTCAAGAGCAGCCTTTTTCAGAGAAAAGTTGGATTCTACATTATTTCCCACCAGTGATTCTTTGCGTATGTAGCAGCCCTGAGCACCAGGGCGATGTTGATGAACATAATCTCTTGGTGAACTTCACACAATGCCCAACCTACTCCTCCTGGGAAGAAAGACACACTGTGTGTTCATAAACAAACTGAGAACTTACACTGAGCCAGTAAAGCTACATTGAAGGCAAGATATTGCAAACATTTTGAATTCTGATTGAAATCTGATTTTTGGGAGCCAAGAGGGAATAAAAGCAGATTTTAACTTTCTTTCTGTGAGGACTTCAGGTACCTCACATCTCTAAACATATCACTCCTTCTACTTTAGATTCTTGCCCTTTCTGATCCTTTCTGATCCCTGTGCTGTTACATCTGCTTCTCTTGCAGGTCTTGGTTCACCTGTCACTTCTTCGGAGAGGCTTTCTCTGACTTCTGTGTCCAATTAGGTGCCCGTCGATGGAGACCTCACCTACTCTGTGCACTCCACATTGTGCTATGCCCATCTGGTGACTTGTTCTTCTCAACTAGACAGTGAGCCCTACCAGGGCAGAAAATGGACCTGCCTCAGTCACCAAGCTAAACCCAGGTCCTTATGTCGCCAGGCAAAATTAAGGACTCAAATGTTTATTTGGAATAAAGAGTAAGAGAATAAAGAGCAAATAGTACAGGCAAGGAGTTACATGGAAAAAAAATACAGGGTTAAATGGAAAAAAACTGGACTGTCACTTTCCTCAGTGAAGAAATGTTGGAATACCAGATTGTAATTTGGCAACATTAAGGAAAACAAACAGCAGAGGAGGAAAAAAAAAAGCAAGAGCTTTCTCCATCTTTTGACTCATTTAGCAGGGGAAAAAAGAAAGGCTTTGTTTACTCCTTGTGCAAGTTATCAAATTTCTTCTATAAATTAAAAAAAAAAAAAAGTAAAGCTTCCAGGGTACCTAACCATGTCTCAGAAACTGTCTTCTGCTAGGGGTGGGGAACACACATTCAGGTTGGGGAAAAAATCCACTTGCCTCTGAGAATTTCCATAGTAACAGAGAAGCAATATTATAAAAAATGGAAAATCATTGTGTTAAAACTTGAGTGTAAAGACAAAAATAATATAGGACAAAGTTTTCAAAATAAACATGGCTTTGAGTTCATAAAACCATTGGTGAGAAAATGACTTTTCACATTCAAATCTGGAACAACAATCTGAGAAGGAAATTATAAGGTTTTTGCAGGGATAGACTATGAGTTTTGAAGGTAGCCAAGGGAGCAAAAAGGAACAAGTACACATTCTGCTTCACTCACAGCCATAGAAGCTTAATTTTTAATGCAATTCTTGTAAGAAGCCACCATACAAGGACCACTGTACCCACCACTGTATTCATCATACAGAGTAAAAAGAATAAATTTCTATCTTGAATACTATAGAGAAGTTGTTTCCATAGATACTTGATCTTAACAACTAATGAGACAAATAAGAGTATTCCCAAAGTCTACATGCATTATATCTCTGAAACTGCATAGCTTTAGCTACTTTTAAAAAACCACACAATGTTAGAAGAAGAAAAGTCCTGAACCTTTCTTTCCTACAAGTCCTCATTTTACTTTACATAAGCCAGGTAGTTCAACAGACATATTTCTTTCTTTCCCCAATACTTCTAAACTTCAATTTACTTAAGATTTATGACATTTTAATAGAAATTATGAAATCGAGTCAGCTTATTAAATAATCACTGTTTTTTGTTAAGGCAACAGAGTCTCAGAACTCATGGGTTCAAACAGTCCTCCTCCTCAGCCTCCTCAGTAGCTGGACCTACAAGTTCATGCCACCATGATTTTTTTAAAATGTTTATCCTTCCAAGGAATCTTGGGTAAGAAAGATTAGCCATATAGGAATCACAGTGAATTAAAAAACTGCTCATAGGCTAACAATGCTAGACTGAATATAATTAATCATTCCCAAGGACTATAGCGTACACAGAAGTCATGCAGGACACCTTATAGTTCTTATCTTGGGACTCAACTGTCACAGTACTGAAGACTACAAAAGTTCTAGGGACTGCAGATTTCTGGACAAAGGACAGGTGAGCCAGACTCCAGTGTGGCAGGTACTTTTCACTTTGGAAGGTCAAATAGCCATTACTTTAGGTAGGTTAGTGAGACCACAGAAAGACTTCTTGATTGTTTAGAAAAGAAATTTCCAACGCAACAAGTTTTAAATACATTTATAATGCTCTCTCTTTCACATAGATTTAGATTTAATTCCACTACTGCAACTGTGGCGTTGAAGGTATGTTGCTTCCTCCTCACTGCAATGACACCACCCTATGTCCCAGAGCTGTTAGGTGCCAGAAACTTGACAGGAAAAGGGGAGCTGGTGACCACAACAGAGCTTTCTAGGCGACATATGCATGGAGACCCTAATAAAGCCCCAGGGCCACGTTAGTCACTGGAATCTCCAGTGACAGGAACACTGGGCTCTGCACACTTTCTTCATGGGGAAAGAGTAGAGTGTGTCCAAACTTTCTTCCATGACCAGTGAGCTGGGCAGAAGGCAGGCCCAGCCAGTCGGTCCCTCGGGCCAGGGCAGGAAGTGTGAGTCTCTCTTACCCTGGTGCGTGGGGCCGCAGGGCTAACACCAAAAATTCATCCAAAGGAGCGAGTTGAGGTCGAGCCAGAAGACTTGTCCAAGCAGGTTCTTGAGCAACAGGTGCTCCTGGCAAGTATTAACAGGCAAGGTACAGAAACAACTGGGGTCTGAGAACCAGGAAGTATGAGGGCAAAGCTCCGTAAGAGAATGGAGAAGTAGAAAAAATTGGCCTGGGAGTCAGACACATCTGAGCTCAAATATCAGCGCAGTCACTACTTAGTTCTGTGACCACAGGCAAGATATTTAACCTTGCTAAGCCTCATTTTCAACACCTGTAATAGCAAGATAATAGGCTATT